GGCCTTTGTACACTTTTTTGTTCTTTACTTTTTATTCCGCGTACAATGGAATTACTCAACAATATAATCACCATTGTTACTCACTACAGAGTCCCACCTAATGGGCAGGTCAGCGACCCCCTTCTCCCAGAACTGAGCAGACTGAGAGTCAAAGAAATCGCTGACCGCTCTTCAACGTCTTCAACTTTGGTGAATTTTTCTTCGCTAGAAATATGATCGACAGCGATAATCTATCACGTAGCAGATTCTAGGTATCGATCAATAAGCGAAAGTTCTGGAGCTTTCGAAAAATCGGCTCAGGACTTTCTTACCACTTCATATTAGTATTAGTGTTTTTCATTGCAGCTTCCACGATGTGTATTTATGCTATGTTATAGCATATTGGGTCAACGTTCGGCAGCAATCGTCTTTCTTGGAGGCAGGGTCAACAGTTCCCTGGGATCTTCGTAACGAGGGAGGGGATTGTACACAGGTTTTTTAAAGGTTGTTGGTGAAGTAATATTGATTGGACGCGGTGTGTGAACAGTTTGCCGTTACCGCAGCAATCTTGACTCCCTTCCCTCCCTCTCCCCTACCACCTTCGAGTACCGATCTTGGAGAAACTTCAAGAGAAGTGGCATGTTCAACGATTCTATCGACACCGCCGGCCGTTGGATGGTATCGCATGGATTGTCTCTTTGTGAAAGATTGTCACAAAGTTCTGGAATCGGCACATGCGATGGTCGTGCTTCGGAGCCTGTCGGAAGCAGAGCTCTAGTAGTCACCGGTCACCACTTCCCATGCATTGTTATGAGCCCGAGGACCACGTTTCTCCATCCAGCTTCATAATAAAAGCAGCATAGGATCGAATGGGAGGAAGTGTTGCAATTGTCAAAAAGTATCGCCCTTCTAACTATTCGTTTGTTCGCAGTCATCTTCCCATCCAGATTCGTCTCGTTCAAGATTCTCGAGTTGCCTGCCAACGCCGAATCGCAATAGTTCGGGAGTTGGATGTGCTAGCTCATTATAAGTCGCACTGTTAGACTAAGATATGAAGCTTCTCATGATGGCATACCAAAAAGAATTGCCTGCAAAATCTTCGTTTTCTCATTGCACATGTGATGGCTGGTTAGTGACAAGGGATATCTCAGCGCAGTATGTATTCGCTACAAAGGCAGAGTGAACCAGCGAGGAGTACTCTGTAGAGGATCCTCACTGGCGAAGTACAATTCACATGACGTTGATTACGAGCGCGTTTTCCGAGGTACCCGACAGGAGGGCCGTCGCACTGCAATAGGGTAGAGTCTGCGGACGAGTCGCAGGACATGATGTGCGATGTAGGACGTACAATGCTGTGTTCTATGTAACTTGATGGGAAGTAACTACAGTACGCGTCGCGAGACTCTGCCTCGTTGCCGCGTGACGGGCATCGTAGCGGGCACCCTATTCTCTGCATTTGCATTTGTACATTTGCATTTTTTTGCACTTTTGAATTTCAAATGTAATCAAGAAATAGTGACTAACCAGGAAGGTCTTTCAGGGCGTGACGAGCTTTTTGAAAACGGTCTTTCGCATGACATA